ATATAAAAAGCAGAGGAGGCCCATGAATCATCATACAAGTTCATGCAAGTAAGGAGTAGTAGATCTGTAACACAGTCCTTTGAATGTCAAGTTGACAACAATTTTCACTGCATTACAGCTGTCTTTATTGATGATGAGTCTTTCTGAAGATGAAACAGAAAAGGCAACTGAAATGTATTTTGAGTGCATTCCATGCCTAGTTTTTCATCTTTGATCCACTGTAAAATTGCTCTTCTCAGTGATTCACTATCCACTTAGTTGCAGTTGTTAGAAACAGGTAAAAATATGGAAATAACAATATCCTTTGGGAGCTTACATAATCACTCTGCCTAGTGTTTATCACCACCCTGAATGCAGATAAGCTCATATTCTTTAGATATGACTTTTGTAAAACTCTCCTCAATTTGGCTGGAGATACTCTGCATATCCCAGGACTCTCCTAGAGCAGCAGCAGACAATATTAGCTCAAGGAGAGAAAGGCTATGTGTGTCTTATTGAACTGTAACTCCACTGACTCAGGAGCCTGAGTCAGGTGTATCTCAAGCTGGTGGCCAGCCTCAGTGATTTATCAAGACTCTCTGTTACTTATTGAGACTGGTTTCACAGATCTCAGTCTATGTACAGCCAGTTCGATTCCCTGGGGCTCCAGGTAGGGCTGAAAATCATGGTGGAAGAGTGTGGCAGAGGGAAGTAGCTCACATGATAATCAGAAAGCAGAGAGAGCTGAGCTAATCTTTTAAAATGACATAAGTCCACAGTCACTGGAATCTTCTGTATGTTTATGAATGTGTATATGGGTTGAGAGCCACTTCATTTTGGATTTTAAGGATGGGACTGTAGTTGAGAGATTGATGTGAAGAACAGGCATGGTATAAAAATAACTGAACCTGACTCTTGGTCATGGAGGAGAGGGCACAGAGTGGCCAATATGGCCATGCCTATATTATTCCACTTGAGGATTTATTTGTGGTAGATATGAGATGTAAGAATCAGTTCTTTACAGGGACACAGAAGTGATTTCTCAGACTATGCTATAAGTAATGACTTAGATGGTGTGGGCAGAGTTAACAAGAACTCTTTCCCTTTTTGCATGAGAATCTGACCTTTGGTTAACTTCTTTGCTTGGTTTCCCTGGAAACAGATAAAGATGGTATGTGTCAACTGTGTTACTAAGCAACATTACATATGGTAGAAATCACCCCCCATTGGTAGAGTGCATCTGGACTCGGGGGAACTACAAGTGAACTGTAAATATGTAATGGGGGTGCCATACTTTAGACTTGCTGAATGCAGCAATTCTTATAACTAGCATGTTCCTGGAGAGAATCCTGCACACTAAAATCCAAAATTAAGTTGAGAGCCTTAATGCTTTGTGGTTTTATAAGAGTTATGAACTCCTGTGGAACATAAGTTTCTTAAACAAAGACCAGTTCAATGTGTATCTCATCATCTGGCACCTGAGCTTGCAGGGGTCAACTTGCTGTCATGCAGGCAACCTATAATCTCTAAACTATGTTCTTCTGAGTAGACTAATTTCAAGTATGATGTATGACAGTCTTGTAATCTAAATATCTATTTGTCCCCATGAAATGCCTTTGATAAAATTTGTAGTTTGCTTTTGTGTCATGGTCATTTTGAAGGGGTAATATGTGAGCCATACCTTTCTGTGAAGGGATCTGAAAATAATGAGGTCTTTTGTAATTGTTTTAGCAACACAAAAAATTCATTTATCTGTCCATCCATCCATCTATCCATCAATTCATCCATCCAGTCCTTATTTAGAATATACAAAGGGGGTAGAGAGAGAAGAGGGGAGGGGAGGGGAGGGGAGAGGGGATAGTAGAGGATAGGAAAGGCAGCAGAATACAACAGACATGAGTATGGCAATATGTAAATCAATGGAAGTGTAACTGATGTGATTCTGCAGTCTGTATATGGGGTGAAAATGGGAGTTCATAACCCACTTGAATCAAAGTGTGAAATATGATATATCAAGAACTATGTAATGTTTTGAACAACCAACAATTAAAAAAAATAGAATATACAATATGCCAAGGATTGTGCTTGAGAAAAAAAAAATTCAAGGACCTTTCTTTCAAACAGCCCTCATATCTTATGGGAGGAAAGTAGGTATTATATTGATTATTAGTACTAATAGTAATATTAGTGACGATAATCAGCTGCTGTGTTAAGCACTTTACATTCATCATTTATTAGTGTTCTGGGAAGTACATATTATTATGTACATTTTGTAGGCCAAGAAATTGAGGCACAGAGAAGTTGCCTCAAAAGTTATACCTCTGAATTCAGGCATCTGGATTCAGACGGTCCTATTCAAGATCTCAGGCCCTTAACTAGTGCACTATGGACTGTGTTGTGCACCTTGGTAGGGGTTCACCTCAAGGGTTTCATGGGAAGTTTTCTATGAAGGCTCTCATGCCCCATTTCCCAGGTCCTACAATACCCAAGTGCCTACAAATCATACTTTGATTGAATTGACAAGCAACTACAGGAAGCATCAGCAGAACCTGGGAAAGGTCATAAAAGAGCCAAGGTTTGTCTAGATCTATTTGTGTCTCAGTTCTGTTTTCCCATTCTCCAGAGATGACTTGAGCTACTCTTTGCCCAACTTGAGCAGCTTCTTTTCCAGTTTTGAAAGGCCTGGCTCTAACTGGACAGAAGTAAACACTGGGGTTTTTATGTTTCCAGTGATTCCACTTTAGAAACAAGATTATGAGATGAAATAAAACAATACATGTAAAGTGGTCAGGACTGGGCCTGTCCTATGGCACCTATTAGACATAGCTACTATTGTTTTTCCAGCCCATATTGCTTGCATACTGCCGAAAACTATCAGAAAGACATCTCAGTGGCTTTAGCAACTAGTGTTCTTTTCCATCACATATATTCTTTCTGTATCCATCAGGAACATTTGTCAAGCACTCATTGGGTGGGCTATGGAGATATCAGAGAAAATATGAGGAGTCATATCCATCAGGATACTTAGGACACACTTAGAAACACATACTAAGAAATCTTTCCATACTTAAAGATCCTTACAAAGAGACAGCTACCACATGGGAATTGTCAGCTCTCTAATTCTTACTCCTCCAAGGAAGAGACAGTTTTGGTTACAGAGGAAATTAGCCATTGTTAATACTCAACAAACTATGTCCATATGGAAATAAGTCAGGGTGTGGGAATAAGTCTCCTATTTGCCACACTCCAAAGTTTCACATAATTTAACTACTCCACTATGCTCTTTTCCAGTCTTTACTAAACATGGTCTTGACTAGTAGCCAAACTATCTTATTTCCAAACACCAGACAGAAGCAGAAACGTTAATGCTGGATTGTGATCCCTTTCTATCCATCGAAGATTATTTGGCCTGATGTCATATTGTTATCTAGAGTAAAAACCACTTGGATCTTCTTTGTTTCTGGGGTCTTAGAAAAATTTCCCACTTTGTAAGTTTCCTTTAATATTTGAAAGAATACAGAAACTTCTAGTTTCAAAGGCGCTCTGGTCTCTGATACTTCTGTTATTTCTTTGGCTGGAGGTTCAATTGTGAAATATTGGGTTTCCTCACTTTTTTTTTCTTTTGCCTACAATGAGGTATTTTTATGAAGTCATAAAAATCTAAAGCAAACGATCTCACAAGAAGGTTCCAGCTCAGGAGATGAGGCTTCCCTGGCCTGGGGGAGATGTGGGCTGGTGGGCTGGACTCCATGTAACACCCCACTCAGTTCACTCACCACACATTAACTGAGCAGGTACCATGCTAAGTTTTGTGAACAGCAAGTCCATGAAAACAAGATATCTTCCCTTGAGGATCTGAAAGCCACTTACTGTTCATGTAACACAGAACACTTAAGAGATAGGAAAAAAAAAAAAAGGAAGATTGAATCTCAAATACTCATAGAAGAAATGTTGACTACTTCCTCTTGCCCGGAGTCCTAAAATGTCTGACTGAGTGAAGAAAAACAACATCAACTGCCACCAGAGCCTGCTCAAATGAGAAATCTGTAGCAAAGTGATCTTGATTATCTCAGAAATCCCTGACAGAAATGGAAGCAATATAAATAAACATAAAAGAAAACAGAGGTGCTGTAACACAACTATAAATTGCTCCTCCCCGACCTTCTCCCAATCATCCAGGGCAAAAGAAGGAAGTTGGTCTTTGTGGCAGAGAATAGACCAGCAGCTGTTCTATATCCTGCCAAGGGGAGAGAGACTTATTATAAATAATAGCCAACAATATGTCCTTTGGGACTGGAGACTCAGCCAATTTGAGGGGAGGGGAGTCTGCTAAGAAGATGGAGGGCTAATGGGATAGGGAGATGGCCAACACAGCAAAGGATGAATTAGGAGAAAACCCTATCAAATTTTCCTGTGTACTTATGTTTCTATTACCTCATTAGAGTGATTATATAATGCTACTCCATTTGTAAACTAAAAGAGAAATAAGGAGCAACGTTCTCATTAGCAGTGGCTGATACGAGACATTAACATACCAGTAAGTCATGTGGGCGAACAGTTAATACGTTTGGGCCGTCTTTCCTTTCTTTCTTCATCTGTTTGGTATTTTGTCTGCTCCTTCCCTCATTTAGCCATCAGTGTGTATTTTTAATTCAGAAATGGGGATGGAGCTGACAACTTGGTGCCTTCATTTTGAGAGCTCTTTGGGGAAGAAATTTATGGACTTTGTTTTACTGTTTTATATTCTAGTAAGATTTTTAAGAGGAACCATCTTATAGAAATGCATGGATCTTTCAGAACTTCCTCTCTGCAAAATCCCCACAGGACATCCCAGCCAAATTCAGATTGAAGCTCTGAAATTTTTCATTTTGTAGGATTGCTTCTGCATATGGAGAAATGGCATTCTTTGTGTCCAGAGCCTCTTGCTTATCAAATCCTAATTCTAAGTTGTAACTTTAAATGAGTATATTTTGAGGGATGCCGTTTATGAATATGCTATTATTATCTTAATTTTTAAATAGCAACGAGGACAGTGAAATTCATCAAGTAATATCTAACAAATGAAGAACAAAGTCTCCAAAATATAAAGCAACCTGTTCAGAAAGAGAGAGGAAAAGCCAAGGCTGGGCTCCAGCATCAACAGGAGTCACATGGAACATGACCACAATATATAACTTCTAAATCGGTTTAAGGAGGGTCCACTTTATCCATGGATCTTCTAATGAGGAAGCAGTGTGGGACTGTAGGTGAGTGTTAAGTAGAGATGAATTCTGTCAAAAAGATCCCTCAGAGAAAGAATGAGCTGTTTAGTCTGTATTTATGTTTTACATATGGTTCTAATTTTATATACTTACCTTTATTCCTATGTAACCCTGTTTCATCACTCTCTTTTAATTTTCTCTTGTATGACTTTCTCTTGTATGACTTTTTATCTTGTATGACTTTTAATTTTGGGGGCTCCAAAATGCATTTTTGCAAGATTACTGTTTCTCAGAAGATGAGCACTTATTTTGCATTTGTTCTCATAACTGCAAACTAAATGAAGAGTTTAGGTACCTAGGAAGGGATATCTTTATTCTAAGAAAAATAAATTTTAAATATCTGCACTGTAGACAGTATGTTAGGGAGTCTGTAACTCTACCTGGAGCCTGAGGAATAGTGTATATTTAAATTAGTAACTAGTCCATTTATTAAGTATTTCTGTTCTCTGTGCTTTCTGTTCATATTAACTTTGGTGACAGTATCATAACTATCCAGCAGATGGCATCTGCTTCAAAACTCATAAATTCCATTTACATTTCAGGACAAACAGGATACTGATACATTGAAGCCTCTCTCAATTGAATTCTACATTTAATACCTAGAAAGGACTGATGGAAACACAATTAAGGGGAGACAACCAACTTCTCCTCTTCTGGTAAGAGTCATTCCTTCCTGTAGCCATGGGCATTGTGGAAACCTTGGAAAACCTCAGTAATTTGAAAGGAAAACACAATCAGAATTAAATCCAGAAGCTCTCTTTAAAAATCTATTACTTTAGTTATTTTCAGCACTAAACAGGAGCTGAATATTAGTGACAGATTCAGAAAAACAAAGCTAAATTTCAAATTTTCTCCTCTAAGGGAAAGGGAGGGGATGCTAGCTCCTCAAGAAGTAAAGAATAAATGAATACACAAAGCTTTCCGGATAGTTACCACACAGAGCCTTTTTCCTCTTTACTTTGTATGAAGAGATGAGTGTGATTGAGTGACTTCTAACGTTTAATGACACCTTTGCTCCAGTGCTTTGTAAAGCTCACACATGAATACACTGATCCATTTCCAGATGATCCTGGGGCCCCCATCCTTTTGTGTCAAGCACAAAGAAAAAGGAGAGAGAGGGAGAGACAGAGACAAAGAAGCAGCCCATGTAACCAAGCGCTGAACATGATTTAAACAACCAACTTAGTAAACATCAATCTTAGGATGTGTTATGTGAAATGGAGTCATACTCCAAAAGAAATGTTGGCTACATTTAAAAGATCACTTTGTCTAAAGAAAATGCCAAGTTGAATTTCCATGCAGTAAGTCATCTTTCTACAAGAAGCTGACAAGACAAAAGCAACAAAGTGAAAAGGTGAACAATGGTTCATTTGAAAAAAAGTAACAGCATTATAATCTTTTTTTTTTTTTAAGGGTCTGGTTCCCTTGTTTTAGATTATTTGTCAAGGATCAATGTGGCTCTGAGAAGAGACTTGTGTGACTTGCTGTGTTACTATGTGTAAATCACTTTTCCTCCCTGAACCTCAGTTTTCATCTATGTAATATAGGGGATTGACCCAAATGACTTTTGGGTTAACTTTCAGCATGAATTTGCTATGATGGGTGTCCCTGCAGCCACAGGGCAACCTCTTAACACACATGCAAGTTGTAAGGACAGTTAGAGCTTGAAGGGTCGCAGGGTCTGGCGCTAGTTTGTCAAAATGCAGCCATTGGAAAGGTATGCGATGCGAAAACATTTTAGAATCCTTGGAGTTACACTTCCTCCCTAAGGTTCCACAGCTATTTTCTGAGAAAAATAAAGAGAAGTCCAGGAATGGCAGTCAAAATCTTGGAGATGAATATGTTTTGTTATTTTATCTTGAAAATAAATTGTATTTTGACTGTTTGATTCTTTATGTATGGCATTCATGTACATTCATGGATCTCCTTAAGTTTGGAATTTTAAAATGTCTGACATATCTTGCCTGGGTCACAGTTAATATACACAGTGGATTCTTCAGAAATGCAGAGCTTTAACAGTTGAAGCAGCTGAATACTGATTTACATGGAAAGCAGAAAGTGTACAGTACCAATAAAATATATCTTTGACATCTTGGCTTCCAGAGGAACACATTTTCTTTGTTCATTCATAAGTCTACTCTATTTCCACCTCAGATTTAATTATCTTCCCAGTTCTCATTTGCGTATGTGTAGGCTACCATTCACAATACGCCAAGCCCTACATGTGGGAGGCACAAATCTTTTCATTCAAAAAGAAAGAAAGAAGTGTAGACAAACCATTTTGTTTGTGCATAGTATGTGCTTTAGGTGAAGCCAAAATGATGCTAACTGGAGTCCAAGAATACAAATGTCCTTGAAATAAAATATGCTGTTTGGTATATTGATACACATCTTTAGTTTAGACTTTCATTACATGCCAGATACATAAAAGACACTGATATTTTTCCCTATAAAATCATAGACTGTTGGAATTGGGAAGGATTTCATAGAATCATCTAGCCCAACTTCCATAGTCTACGTATGAGAGAATTGAAACCCCAGAGATGTAAAGGATTTTCCCCAAATCACCCAAGTGGAGAGTAGCAGAAATAGTACAGGAACTCAGTTTTTAAACTTACATACTAGAACTATTTATATGTCCATGATTATCATGGTTCTCAGCACCTTTGTATCCCTTAGTTTCTCTTTCTTTCTCTCTCCCTCTCTGTCTCTAATTTAATTTTTGTCTTTGAAGTCAGCTCTCTAGGAGCTATTTTTCTCCTGATTTAGAATTGACATCTTTGCATAGTCCTCTCCTTTGTCCTTTAAATTTCTCCTAAGTGCAACTTTAGCCAAAATAACTTCACTATCCATCTATCCATCTCTCCGACATCTGTCCATCCAACTACCCATTCATTATTCATCCATTCAAATATCTCTCCATCTAAGAACTAATAACTTCTGAATGCTAGGTTCTGACTTACACCTGCTCAATAAAATAAAATGCCCCTATTCCTTAAAAAGCTCATGTTATGGTTGAGTTTGCTCCTGAATAATCTTTTTAAAAGTACACTAGCTTTATATTTGTTCTTTGTGTGTGTGTACTGGGGATTGAACTCAGGGACACTTTACCACTGAACCATATCACCATCTCGTTTTTGTATTTTATTTAGAAACAGGGTCTCACTGAGTTGCTTAGTGCCTCACCATTGCTGAGGCTGGTTTTGAACTTGTGATCCTCCTGCCTCAGCCTCCTAAGCTGCTGTGATTACAGGCATGAGCCACTGTGCCTGGCCTATATTTGTTCTTAACAACTATTTTTTTAAAAAAGATTCACATTATTACAACAAATGTTCCACTTTCCTTATTTTCTAAATACAGAAACACTTCATTTATTTGGTTTTGGCAAGGAATGAGGTGTTCCATATAAGTAAACTTTGCAGACCACTGAAACCAAAACTTTTGAAAAGAAATCTTCTTTAAAGTGTGTTTCATATTTCCCTGCCTTTGGAAATAAAAGACACCGAATATAATTAAGGTTTTTAAAACACATGACCAAGAGTGATCCTTTGGAACATCTTTTATCATACAGGACAGGAATACAGTCCTGAGTTTGATTTTTCACATCTCCTTTTAGCAGGCATTTAACACTTTTTATGAAAGTTAAAGTTTCCTTCCAGCAGTCCTTTCACAATCTCTCTTCTAATTTTTAGGGCATTCATTAAAAATTATGTCTTAAATCAGACTTAATATGACTTAAGTCAGTAAGGCTTTCAAGGAGAGTCTGAGGCACAGTATCCATGGCTGGCTTTAATGGGTAGATATGAGGACCAACATTCCATGTTATTTTCTTCTGATTACTTCCAAACATAGGATGATAAAGGGAGGGCTGGGGATACCAGGCCTGCTGGGCAAGCTGGGCAATGCTCTAGTCAGCCTCAGTCGACTGAGCCTTTCATTCTATCCCCAGAGCAGAAATCAATGACAGGGATGTTTAAGTCCAAGCAGTTTATTTTAAACAAGCAGTAGATTGCCTCTTTGAAGTATCCTGTTTAGGTTAAACCCAGTTCTCTGTATTATAACCTGCCAGAATTCATCTCCTGTCCCAGAGAGTTATAGTCCAACAATCCAGCTTCACCTGATAGTGCAAACAACTGTCAAATCCCAAGCCATGACCTTCACGTAACAGGATTCCATGTATCCCTACAATGATTCGGAAAAGTGGATAATACTATCTCATTTTAAGGGAGGAACTTTGCATACAGTTTAGGTCATTCACCTAGAGTAAGTCAGTAAGAAACTGTGACTCTTGGCTTAATTTCCTTTGTCACAGACTTCCCATACCCAACTAAATGGAAAATCCTTAAGCACTTCAAATCTACAGCTGTTATAAGATGAAAGCTGCATGGTCATAGATGATTGGATAAAAAATAAGGTTAAGAAAAAAAATAGATTATTTTTAGCTCATCCCTTGTCCATTTGCAGATCTTGATTCAGATTTTTTAAGTTCCTACTTCCATGTTCTCTGTGTATGCCTTATATATGAATCGTAATACTGAGGAAAGCAAAAAAGTTTTTATTATGTAATGAATTTATAATTTGATAAGACTTCCCTGCCTCATTTATTCCAAAAACATTTATTGGGAGATGCCTAAGGGCAGACATTCTCCTAGTAACCAAGGACTTAAAGATGGACAAAAAGTAGTCCTTGCACAAAGACAAATCTACATTAACACAGTTATCTGATGCTAGACAAAGGGACCAAAAAAAATACGTTGGAGAGAGAGCTTTTTAAATAAATGATACTGGGAAAACTGGAAATTCATACATAGTAGAATGAAATTGAACTCCCATCTCTCACCCTGCACAAAAGTCAACTCAAGGTAGATCAAAGACCTAGAAATTAGACCAGAATCCCTGCACCTGCTAGAAAAAAATGTAGGCCCAACACTTCAATGTGTCAGCTCAGGAACTGACTTCCTCAATAAGACTCCTAAAGTGCAAGAAGTAACATCAGAAATCAATAAGTGGGATGGAATCAAATTAAAAAGCTTCTTCACAGCAAAGGAAACAGTGTGAAGAAAGAGCCTATAGAATGGGAGAAAATATTTGCCATCTGCTCCTCAGGTAGGGCATCAATATCCAGGATATACAGAGAACTCAAAAAACTTAACACCCAAAATCAAACAACCCAATCAACAAACAGCAAAAGAACTAAATAAACACTTCTCAAAAGAAGTACAAATGGTCAACAAATATATGAAAAGATGTTCAACATCTCTAGAAATTAGAGAAATGAAAATTGAAACTACACTGACATTTCATCTCACTCCAGTCAGAATGGCAACTATTAAGAATACAAGTAACAATAAATGTTAGTGAGGTTGTGGGGGGAAAGGTGCACTCATATATTGCTGGTGGGACTGCAAATTAGTGTAACCACTTGGGAATGCAGAATGGATATTCCTCAAAAAACTAGGAATGAAACCACCCCAGCTATCCTACTCCTTGGTATATATCCAAAGGATTTAATATCAGTATACTACAGTGACACAGCCACATCAATGTTTATAGCAGCACAATTCACAATAGCCAAACTATGGAGCCAACATATGTGTGTGTGTGTATGTGTGTATGTGTATGTATGTATGCACACACACACACACACACACACACACACACACACACACAGTGGAAATACAAATATTCCAGAATCTGGAAAGAATCTGAAATCCTAAACACTTATGATCCAAATCTTGCAGATAGGAGATATTCAGTCTGTATGTATACACACACACACACACACACACACACACACACACACACACACAGTGGAAATGGGCTATTACTGAGCCATAAAGAAGAATGACTTCATTACATTTAAATGGGTGGGACTGGAGAGTATCTTGCTAAGTGAAGTAAGCCAATCCCCCCAAAAATCAAAGGTCAAATGTTTTCTCTGATATGTGGCAGCTAATCCAAAATAAGGGAGAGATAAAAGAAAAAGAAAAAGAAAAAGAAAAAGAAATATCAGTACAGTAGACAAAGAGAAGGGAGGAGGGATGGGATAGGAAAAGAAAGTGGAATGAATCTGACCTAACTTTCCTACATACATATATGAATATACCACAGAGAATCTCATCGTTGTGTATAACCACAAGATACTAATTAAGAAAAAATTATAAGAAAATAGCAGAATGATCAGTAGATTAGAGGAAAGGGAGAAGGGGGAGGGAGGAGGGAAAGGAAAGGGGAAGTACTGGGGACTGAATTTGAGCAAATTATATTCCATGCTTTTATAATTATGTCAAAATTAATCCTACCATTATGTATAACTAAAAAGAACCAATTAATTTTTTTTAAAAGGTGGTCCTTGTCTTTGAGCATCTGATAGTCCCAGGGAAGAGGCAGGGTTATAAGCAAACAACTCTATCAGTGTGTTAAGTGCCAAAACAAAAATACACTGAAAGGTGCTAGAGGAGCATCACATTTAAGTGCTGAAGGAGAGGATGATTGATGAACTTGGTTTTGTGGATTGAATAAAAAAACCAGGAGGGATGAGGAAGAGCACTTCACCAGAGGGAATAGCCCAGACAAAGGTATGAAGGAATGAAAGAGCCTCCCATGTTACATTCAGCAGGTGGAAGCCAAGAGCTGATGTGGTGAAGTGAGGTAAGAACTTTAAATGAAGTGTAAAATAGTTTTGTGTCTTATTCCATCATAACAATGGCCATTTTTATAAACGCAATGACTAAATAAATATATGACTAAATTTCCAGGCACAGTTATAAGTAGACAAAATATGAAGTGGAAATACATGGAAAAAGTTAGTAAACTTTACACTGCAAT